TTGTTTTCATATTTTTAATATATGTAATACAGACTCATCGAATGAACACACACACATGAGGTAAAATATTCATATTCTCATACAAACGACGTCTAGAAAGCTGACAAATTAATTATTGGTCGATCATTTGTATTAACAAATAGTAAAATTCATAGTTGGTGTCCCTTTAACTATTCCAGTGTAGACGGGGCTGTAACCTTTATAATAAAATTGCGTATGTCAATTCACACTCAAACTAGACACCACTAACAACCAATAACAGACGACTGTAAAAGTCCATAACTTCAAAAAATACAAAAAGTGAACGATGTGGAATTTCTAAATGATGGAATGAATTTAATTACGTCAGATTCGATCGACAGAATTAGATAATAATATGCAACAATCGATTATTTGTTTCCTCGAAAATAATTCCGTGATAGCTGTGAATACGGAAATAATCCAAGATCCGTTGTCCGAGTAACACCTGTCAATGAAACATCCGGAATAGAGACATCTCGTAGAGCAATTATTTTGATTTTCACTAGTCTGATTTTATTGCAACTAGTAAGAGAATATCCCTATTTTCAGTAATGTTTTATGGACCATATTTTTCAGAAGAGTTTGCATTTTCTTAATAAAACATGCAAACACCTGGCATAAAATCCATTCAGAAATTAACTCGCCAATAAATTCGAATCATAGTATGCAAACCATTTACCCATACCCAAATAACACTCTCGTCAGTGCCTTGATTTTCAGATGTTCAAAAGACATTGGTCAATCGAAACCACGTGTCAGTTACGTCATCACGTGCATACAATATTTGTTAGGAAATAAAGAATTCTGTACATAAGGTGGAGACAGGTCACAAAATGGTTCCGAAAAACATCGACAAATACCGCCGTAGTCGCATTGACTCATATACTTATTTTTTTTTCAATTAGGCCAAGAACTCATACACTTCAGTGATAGTACACAATAAATTATCATTTATCCAGGCACTTCTTACGGATTAAGCAATTCACGTGTACCATAATTATAAATTAGATACGGAGGCGAGATACATATACTATTAACACACAAATTTACCACGGCAAACGCGCGTACACTGTTTCCTTGAATGGATGTTGATTGTAAGTTACGTCGTCCATTTCAATGAAGTTGTAGTGCATGTACTTTCCAAATGATTCATCCATCAACCTAGTCGACTGGACGTGACATGTGGACTAATTGCTTGCATCAATAATAACGACGTTTCCCGATGGAAATCAACCAAATGTAATCCATTTGAAGTGTTTGTGTCACGGTGTGCGTCAACTTTACAGAGAGGTCAATTCCGGGCATAACCCCACATAACATTACCTAAGGTTAACATATTAGTTACCAACGGTGAGATGTAAACATGATTATTCAATTGACTTGGAGTGTTTGTTGAGGCTGGGACTGGAAGACATCTAGCCGTTAATTGAATAAACCGTATACCCTATAATGCCAGTCTAGCCACTAGCCACGTGACCTGTACTATCATCGATCGCCCTGAAAATTGGGGTTAAGGTAGAAGCTTACACATGAATACAAATATCCAGAATTTATTTATTTTCCAACAAATTATTAGTATACTTCCAGGCAATATAAGGATATTGACTTAAAAAAGTTGGATCACCATCTTAATTTTCAAGACAAAGATAGTTGTATTTTAGTGGATAGTGGCCATTTTGGCAGATTATAGCACTTTTACCATATGGCAAATTGTCTCAAATTGATGACATATATTGTGAATATTAGAGTACTTTAATAATTATTCTGTTTTTTAAAAGAGTCAAAAAATGCAATTTTTCTTTAACACTGTGCTCTATGAAATGGTTCTTAAAATAGGACAAGTTTTTCAAAATACGTCACTGTAACACACAAAAGAATGCTATTTCGTGGTGCCATGTGAAATTAGTTTCACTGTTTTTTTACAAAATAAACCAATGAACATTGTCATGCCATTTACATAGTTACAAATTACTGTGGGTAGATTTTCGGTTTCAGAGCCGGAGATTTGAGTCCTGCTTGTTATTTTCTGGATGGTGTCCAGCGGCAGTGGCTAACCGTTAAAAAAATGCTTCCTTCTGAACCTAGCTCAGTGTGATATCGTTGTTCTCAAGTTGTTATCATATCATTACAATTTTCCATGTTGGCATTGACTCATACTATATATATATATATCACCCGCAGTGGGGTCTCATTAAATTTTAAATGTATGACGTTCACAACAAAGTTTCACTAGCATTATTTGGAATGGTTGGTCTCATTCTCAGGGTATTTTCTTAGTTTGCAAGAACGGCGATGATACCAGATCACCTGGTGAGTGCCCCCATCCTGGCCTACAATAGGGTCTATGTTGATACATTCACGTAAAAGAAGGTTGGGCCATGCAACGTATACCGATTTGTATAACTATCACTGATAGTTATATATATTGCTCTAAAACTGGACCCATCTCATTGGCACTTTCCCAGTTCTCAAACTCCGGTGGGTAGTATCATAGGCATTTGATGCAGGATTGTGAACATGTAAGACTATATATATATATATATACAATAACTTATGAGTTAGTCATACCGATGGAATTTAAAGCGGAGGGGTCATTACCTGCAACGATAACAACTAGCATGACATGTAGGCGTGAGTGGCGCCCTCGCCGGCTGGACGGCATCATACCCCAATGAGGGTTTCGAGCACCGCTGATGACGCAACTCACGCGACCTTGTTAGGCTGAGATATCAACGCAAAGGCTCATGGGCATGCGTTTATTTGTAAACAGCGACACACTATGGCCACCTGCCGCATGCGCAAGTGACAACTCCTCGTTTTAATCATGGACAGGAGTAAATATAATCTGGTATAAGGAAGGATAGGTGGCAAAATGCGTAATACAAGCAAGTTAGCGCTAAAACGGCGAGTTTCGTTTCATATTCGTGCGAGACCGTAACAGTTATTAGGTGTGTTGTAATAAATGTATTAATATCACACGGCCATTTTGCATCATCAAAATTTAAGCTTCCGTGAGTAGATATAATTTATGTGATCTCGTTGACTCACGGGCTAGCGTACACTAAGTATAGTGCTACACCTGTTTGGATTCTCAAGACGAGATGTCTCCGTGGCATTGTCAAATTAGTGTATGAATGTTCATTGATGCGGAGTAGCTATATTTTTGTTTCGCTACTTCAGTCTTTTAATAACATAAGACAATGGATAGTAATTCACCCAGAAGTCGCTACTGATATCGGGTAAAACGTGATCCGGTTTTACATGAAGCAATTACTGTGACACGTGTTTTATCGTTCTCATGTCGCGGGGAATACTAAATACGCCATTCCAACACACGCAGACGCAGTTATAATGTGTGATTGGCGCAGTTGCCCTAGTGAATCCTTTTAAGAGTTTGGAATTTCGAATAACCGGGCAATGGTAGGATTGATTCATCAAAACATTCCTGAAGTAACCTCGATGCATAAAAGATGTGGTGTCTGTAACGTGTTTTTATAAATGTAGCATTGTCAGTGATGTGTTAATACCGGACGCTGCGAGGTCCGAAAGGTCGCCAAAGAAGATGTATTCAGAGTCAGGGAGTGAGTGAATAAGTTGGTTTCCCACGCTCTAAGTGTCACCTCTAAATCAAAGTTACAAACGGAATACACGGCAATAGAGACGGTGTAAAGTTTGATGGAGACATGCGGCAGTCATTAAACGTCTTGTGTTTATTTCCCGACCACTGAATTACTCGAACAGGGGGATGGGGGTACGAAGTGAATATGTGTGCAAAAAGACGCCTAACGAATCTTATAGTAGCCTCAAATATTTAAATTGACCTTAACTATATCATTTTTTTTTTCATTCCAAAAACTTAACAAACTGTACTAAATTTCCACAAATGCTTAGATGATGTTTCTTATTTTGCCAGATTTGCTGACAAAAATTGTAAACATTCCGATCTCACTGTATCCATTTTTGAAAAACTTTTGGACAAGTTTCTCAAAATATGTCACTGTAACACACATAGGATACTACTTTATGGTGCTATTGGAAATTAGCTCCATGATTTTAGATAATCCAATGAACACTATCATGTATTTCATCACCATGGATACTGGTTACACAAAATGCAATTACCTTTTTTTAAATATTGGTAAAACCGAAAGGATACAACGCGTTCACTATTTTTTGTTCTATCTGAAATAAGAACCGAATCTTACCATATTTATCTTCCTCCATTAACACTACTGAATAAATCACTTATTACTAGTATATTAAAGCGGGGGAGTCGTCACCTGCGCATGCGTCAATGGCCATAGCATGTCGTTGTTTACAACAATCGTCTACCCATGCCTTTGTGTTTTTAACGTGTGTTGTATTGTTGCTTGAAACTCAATTCCCGCGCGTGCGCAAGGGACGACCCTCCCGCTTT